ATTAAATTCCTGTAATGAAATTACAACCTTATTTTCTTAGTTATAAGAACTCTTTTATCAAATCCCATGTGACCCCAAATTTGTTAAGCACTTGTAGCGCGCAATTTCGGTGCACTGATCAATACAATTATTCTTATGCTATAGGATATTATCTGTATTAGACTAGGCGTGGATTTTGTTTCGTCTCCGACTGTATTAAAGTAACATGAATTTAGACTAGTAAGAGTAGAAATAAGGGTGGATATAATAGCTCGCTAGATTGATATATTTTGTCCGCGTGGTAGCATTTTTAATTTCCTATAATACTTACAATATCTGTAAAACCTACGATACGGTAACTAATCCCATTTATTTAAGTTAATAAACGTTAGATAACACCAAAACGTGCACCGCTAGTAGCAGGAGATCGCAGTGAGTAATATCCATAGCAGAATACATCTACAAATATCGTTTAATAATTGTTTTGTTTAATATTTTCTTCGTGTATGTCATGTTTGCCTATTGCACGCCTCATTAGCGGAACGGAGGCAGTGCTCTACTCTCGACATGTCAAAAAACCCAGTCTTTCAAAACTTGGATGACTTTTTTCTCACTAATATAACACTTACAGGATAATATGGGTGCACTAAAATCGAGTTACATATCTATCAAGCACATATGGTATTTTTTATGAACAATTATTTTGTTTAACATAGTAAATAATAACATTAAAATCAATCATTCTTGGACGTCCGACAGTATGTGTTTATGGATCCATGTATGTGGCAGAGAAATTGGTCGAAAAATGTATCGTACCAGAATACTTTTTTTCTTATTATATAAAGTTATACCCTGGGCTGATTCCTAGTTAATATTAGCGTTCTAAGTACTGTCGTTTAATTATAATTTGTAAAAAACTAAAATACGACTGTGTATTTGTATATCTATACATATATACATTTATTTTAGTAGGTATATTTTTTTTTCCTCACCTTAGAGTTATGGGGCCACTATATATTTTTTTATTATATTATTGGTTTTTTTTTCAATCATTCATTTTCATTTATTTTTTATTTTTATTCTTTTTGTTATTTTGTTTAAAAAAACTTGAGTTTTTGTTTCAGAATTTTTTTTTAAATGTGAATGACCGCTATGAGGCGTGCACTTTTGGATTTTCTAAACTTTAGTGTTCTTTTACCAGTGAGCCGAGCATTGGCAAGCTTTTATAAATAAAATAAAAATAATACTTATTTTTAACTTCCATACAACTTTCAGCCCCTATTACAAATTGGTTAGTGGTTAAGGGATAAAATCAAAACATACAGATAGAGTTGCTTACTACAAATAATATTAAATTTTTATTAAGTAGTACCACTACATTCATAAAATTATTAGTTTATAATTTCTAGTGAAGTATTGAGTCAGTCATTTCAAATTTCTTTTATGTACTAGCCACGCTGTTTATATCTATGAACTAATAATAAGCTGCCATCAGTGAATTACTACAATGATATAATATAACTGATCGTGGTCGCTTAAATACAAATTCTTTTCTAATAATATTGAAGGTAATTTGAAAAATTCACTCCACATTTTTCATAAAGAGTTCTAACTCTACGTCGAGAAAACTAAAATGCTTTATAAAATTTTCTGGAACGTGGAACTAGTTTATTTAATAAGGAGCTTATGAACCTATTTAAAGTCATTTTCTGCTTTTAATGAAAGGGTGACCAATGTTTATATTACAGTATCTGACTATCGCCGGTACTCAATATAAAAGATCGTTGTTTTTGAAAAAAAAACTCCAAAATGCACTGAAAAGTAATAAATAACTTCTAGTTGTATTGAACAGCTAATAGTTTTATTTATATAGAAAGAGTATGAACATTTATCACATAATCGAATGATCGTTTCACGGACGGAGAATCTATATCGAAGTGATAACCTCCTCTTTCAGTTCTTTTGAAATCGGTTCCTCCGCAAGTACATTTCACGTCATACATAATTAAAAGTTTGAATTAAAAGTATTTTTTTTATATTATGGAAAAGATCCCTATAGCTCCAAGGTATAATACGTATAGCATCAGAGAGCAGAGATTTGAAATGTTTTGTTATTCAATTTTTGAATTATACTATTACGATGAGGCGCACCTAGTTAAGAACGTGGTCGAAATATTAAACCCAGCTGACATCATGTCATCAAGCATATGCCCCGAGAGTCTTCAGTCTAGCAATATTTCGTCCATATTGCCCGGAAACGTCATAACAACCTTGAAAAACCTATAATAACTGTGACAGTGGAAGGAAAGAGACCAAGGGGACGCAGTCCAACACGATGGACCGACCAGGTATCATAAAACCTGGGGGCTAAGGTCTCTGGCGGCAATGCTTCTAGCTTCAGCTAGGTGCTAGATATAGATGGAAGAAGCAGTGCAGTAATCTGCCGCAACGAGGTCGGGAGCATGACGTTCAGAAGTGAGCGAGCAGTCGGAGGAGGTTTCAGTTTTCATGCATGTTCATAGTCATAAACTAATCTTATTCATGAACAAATAAAGCATTCTTTCAACGTTTCACTAAGTACTCATTTGTCTCCTTTCATCATGTAAACACTATTTGAGAAAACACTCACTTTTTAGAGAAAAGGGTCATTTTTAGGTCATAAGCGAACATGAAACATTCAATCTATATAAAAAAAATTAATAGCAATATATGTTACTAAGCTCAAAACTCGAACTGGACCAATTCAAGTATTTTTGGACCTTGGATCTCCAAAAATTTTATGGAGAGAAATATTGCACGGAAAAACCTATTTTTATTAAGACAGTACGGATCGCTAAATATAAAGAAACATAATTCATTCTTCAAGATTTTACTAAAAGCATAAACATAATATTAAAATGTTATAACAGTGCCATGCTATGTGGCTATTAAAACAGTTTCCGACATTTCCACCGTCGCTTATCGGGAAATCAATAAGCAAGTTCACGGGAAAGGTTCACTGCGACTCAAACAATGCCCAGAGCACATATAAAACCTCTGGGGACTCACAACGGTCAAAAGATTTTATTTATAATGCTCTTAGAATGTATTTTAGTTTCCAAAGCTTCGGTAGAATGAACTATGTTAAAAAGCTCTTAAGTAATATATATACCTAAGGGCTTTTCCATGATATAACATTAATATTCTACTATATATATAATATTTTATATTAAAACAGAATGTAAAAATAGAAAGCGAGAAAGCACGTAGAATGGATTACCTTTTAATTCACTCTAAACAAATAATTAGAATGATCACTCCTTTTTGTGCTCTTTTTTTAGTAAAAAAAAGATTACAAATAAATATTAAACTATACAAAATTCTATGATTCTATTGGATACTAGCGGATCTGACAGACGTAGACGTCCTGTACACACGACTTACATACAAAAAAATATCTAATAATGAAAATCATTTTCGACTCCACTTGAACACAAAAAAAATCATCAAAAAATGTCCAGCCGGTAAGGAGTTTAATTACGAACACATGCACAGAAAATTTATATATACACCAGCTTTTTATTTGCTGTGTAGATAAATAACCTAGTTTCCGACTGCAACGCCATCTACCGGGTTGATTTGTGAATCTAAACCATCCAGAGCGCCACCCAAACGCATACAAAAAAATTCATTCAAATCGGTCAAGCCGTTTACGAGTTACGTTAGTTTAATGTTAAGAGTTTAGTGACATACTCACGTACAGTAGAATTATGTATAACCTATAAAGTTGTTGTACCTATTTAGTAAGTGTAACCTACACTTGTAAGTGGTAACAAGTGTATATCAACGAGTATTTTACGTAACGCAATTTTTGAAATACGTTTTCAACGGGATAGGTTTTAAAGAAATGTCGTTATCACCGCAACTTCGAACACTCAATAGCAAGTAGCGAGTATTGTAAATATACATAACATGTGCCCGGGTAATAAAGGCCCTAATAAATACGCTGTCATGAGACATCGTAAATGAACTCGTAAATGGGGTTTTCGGCAACACTTTTTATCTCTAGTCTGAGACCTAGACCGTTAATTTGAAATAAAAAAAATCCGTTACAGTTTTTACCGTATAGAAAAATATAACCTAATTGGGATGATACAACTCTGATGATAACAGATATAAGAGAGACAAATATATTTGTCCACGAATACATTTAAAACTAAAATATTTAAATAACAAATTTAAACGATCATAAAACAAATTTAAAGAAGGATTTTATCAACCGATTTCCGATAGATAGATAGCCAACATACCAATTCTTAAAAGACCGGCAACGCCCTAGCGACACGTAAGTGATCAGCAAATCGTGGCCGCCAAAAGACTGTCGACATTTACTTATATAGACAAAAATTTAATTGAAAATTAAAACTTGAAATTATTCGTTTAAACCGTATAGTTGTGTATGACTGTTGTACTTACATAAGAAAATCTCTGGGATTTCTAGGATTTAACCCACTTAGTTGGAATGTAGCCGCATACTAGGGCTACTTTAGATATATATTATCAGTAAATGTATGTAAAAGCTTTAATTAAAGAATAATTTGTCACGTTTTTTGCAATAACCGTGCGACTGATAAGGACAATACAAACAATACTTAAAGTATGCTAATTATGGGTTAATTAGAAATGTGTTTTTTAGTTGATAGTACCAAAACCAAGCAGCACATAGATTTATAACATATAAATCTTCTAAGACACCTGTTAGAAAGTACTGGTGACCTCACGGCAACTTAATTGCAATAAAGCCAAGTAAATGTTGACAGCATTAATTGTACTCTACAACAGTTGCCAAATTTAAAATCTATTGTACTCGTTTATTTAAGGTTTCGAAAAGGAAAAAGACACTACAGAGCAACTTCTAAATAATAAGGAGCCTTACATTGAAAAGTGTTATGAAATTAACAATCCGCCAGTAATTTTCTTTGTTGACTATCGGAAAGCGCGATTGTGCAATTTGGGAACAACTGTGGTACACCTTGCTAGAGATGGGAGTTCCTCTACATCTCCTCTCAGTTATCATGAACTTCTTCGAAGAAGAAGCGTCAGAACATGGATACGCGCAATGGAATGGCAAAGTCAGCGAAGACGCTTATAGGAAAGATATAGAAAAATCGAAGCGCACACACAATTATACACAATTATCCATTGTCAAAACGTTGTCTTTCCCATTTTCCTCTAAATGGCGCCGAATAATGGACCACTTTCGAAGTTCTGGCGACGGATGCTGCGTATTTCCCGGATAGCCACCTGTCACGGCTTTCAAGGATTTGTCTCCAGAGAGTGTTGCAATATTTCGCCCCCATTGCCCGAAAACCCCATGATAAACTTTAAATACTTATAACCGGGAAAATGGAGGAAAAGAGTCATAAAACTGGGCATCTGACGCCATTCACCAAGCGTCAGACATGGAAACAGCAGTGCAGCAAATTTCACAACGGGATCATCACAAGGCTCAGCAGTGAGAAGTTGGAGGAGCAGGATTCAGTAAACATTATTTAAAGTGCAGATTAAGATTGTCTTGTAGAATACATCAGTCATCCTCCCAGTACCGAACTGTTTTGGCACTCGCTTATAAAACTAAAGAAAAACATTAGTAACGGAATGATGAAAACAAAAGTTAAAAGAGCAATTTGAGCTGAAAAATAGCGTAACAAGAGTCTAGTTTTGCGGTAATCTAGCGGTTATCTTGCGGATTATACTTACGATCTAGGTTAATGGTAAACAAGTTCAATTATGACTTGAAGGTTAAATGCATTTTGCAATTAAATAAAAACTCTAAAACTGACACAATTCTTAGTATTTCATGTGTTATATAAAAAATGTTAACGTTACAAGGTAGGCACTTTCATTTAGCATTATATTTAATACATTCGTTAAGTGTCCTATCTAGTTGTGAGCAAGTAATGCTACAAAACAGAACAATGCTACGGAGACATAACGAGAGAGGAGCACTCTAGGACGAATCCCTGGAAAGAAGACACGGAGTAAATAGGAGAAGATATGCCTATCTCCTACCGCCGGGTTAAGAGTAGTGTTGCCCAAAATCGGTCTTGGTCTTGCAGTCTTGGTCTTGTTCTTGCATTTTCGCAAGACCAATACCAATACCAAGACCGCCTTATTTTAGCAATACCAAGACCAAGACTGAAGCCTGCAAGACTTGAGCAAGACAATACTTAAGCCTGCAAGACTCTTGGTCTTGCAGTTAAGACAAACTGAGATTTGGGCGTTATTAAGTAGGTATTTGGTTTCATTCCGATTTTGAGAGACTTCCCCAGTATAAAACCGTTAGTATCGTCATAACACTAAACTGCCGCTCGTTAAGAGCCCTGAAAGGTATTATTGATTAGGTAGATAAGTACTTATTATATTTCAACAATTTATTCACAAATCTGTTACCATGATCCCATGTGATAAAATTTACAGAATAACTTTCTAGAAAGATTATACCTTGTAGGTATCAACTAACCTATAATAATGATATCTTTTAGCTAATGTGAGATCTAACTTAGAATAGGTTGTATGTGTTAAAATTATAGCCAAAAAATTATATAAACATTATGTAAGTACCTACTTATTTCAAAGTTTAATATTCTTCTATTTAGAAAATTTAAAACTAACTGCGAGTCGAGTAGGTCTAGTAAAGTTTCTAGGCAGCCAATATTATGGTACAGACGCCAGCACATCAAGGTACTACAATCTGTCAAATTTCTTTAACAGATTTTCAACTTTATCGCTAAAAATTAAGTTCAGTTGATTGGGAAATTGTGAGTTCTGCGAATAAACTGTTGGTCGGTGGTGTATATATACCTACTTATTTGATAATTTACGACAAGAGGCCGCGGTTTGCAACGAGTGTATAAGCATTTGACACTGTTTGAGCGCCGCATTCGCCGACAAAGAGTCCGGACAGAGGCACACAAAATTTTTACCTATTTTGGTAGAGTTGGTAAGGAGGATAAAATTAAATGACCTTGAAGATGTCTCAGAGTAGGTAGGTATAAATTGAATGCTCTAGTTTTTGTATTTAAAAATTCTCAACTGGCTGAATTGAACACTACAGCGTTTAAAGCTGTGGGCGAGATGATAATTAATAACTAAGTAGGTATTGCATCTATTGAATTGAATTGTTAATCTGGTAAATGATAGATAGTGAGTGATATACCTAGGTACTAAAATGTGAGCAGCATAATTGAAAAGTGTTTATGCATTAGTGCTTTCCATAAGTTTATTTTAAAAAAAGCTATTAAGTAAGATTTAGAGTTTACCATTCAATTACACACAACAAATATTGAAAAACAAAAATTATGAAAAGATATTTAGACTGAGTACTTAGGAAATTAGTAGAAAAATATTCTATCGTGGATACCTAGTTATTAAAAAGTGGATAAACGTTGTGTTTACTTAATTTTATTTTTCTGTGCTAATGCCAAATTGACAACCCCACCAAAATAGGTAAAAATTTAGTCCGCTTCTAGACTTTGTGTTCCGCGTCGCTTTCATGTCAAAGGTCGCGCCACTGCCCATGTCCCAAAGAATAAAATAAGTTTCCGGTGCTCAGAACGGACACAAATAGATTATTTCCTCAAAGGAAGATTGTATCTAAGGATAGGTAGATATTATAAAAATTTTGTAAGTAATAAAAATATAGTTTATATTATTATTAGTTATTACCTATTATACCTTTTTTTAAAGGACATTGCATGCAAAATTGGAAGTGGGTGATTTTAACCAACTTGAAACGTGGAAAAGCTCCAAATATGAGCGACATCATATTGCTTTACCATTTTGTTTTAAAATCACACACTTCCAAAAATCAAGATTTGAGTTCGATTACAACTTCTATGTACCTACTTAGTAGGATATTTCTTCAGCGATATTTCTAAATATTTTTTTTTATTTTTTTATTAAAGACAATTCACACCAATTGACCGAGTCCCATATAAGCTGGTGAAGCTTGTGTTATGGGTACTAGGAACGGATATACATACATATTATAGATAGATAGACATATAAATACATATTTAAACACCCAAGACCTAAGCACAACACCAAATGCTCATCACATCGATGTTGTTAGCGGGGATGAACCGGACCATGGATTGAGTAGGGGTACTAATACTAGACCAATGAGTGTCGATAAATAAAAATAATCGTCGTTATTTTTCTAAAGAATACAATTTTGTTGAAGTAGGTACCTTCATCGTTTCTTACTTACACATATTTTAACGACTGTACCTACGTAGCAAAGCGCGCATCAGAGTACGACAAATTGCCTAAAAATGTATTAGGACACTGTAATGAAATCTGCTAATCTCAACACAACGCACTTCCTTATTTTAGCCGAAGGTAGCATAGGATAGCCCGCCAAACTCAATTTTTTTGAATTTGAGGCTAGTGTAGATTGTTGATTAAAATATTATTCGGTTAAGACGTATGTAGTTACAGAGTCAACTACATACGTCTTACAGTGCGAATCATAATCTAAAATCTAAACTAACTTTCAATAAATAGAATAGGCTAAAGGTATTTGCAAGTCTTGGAGACTTGGAGACTCTTGGAAGATCAAGACCAAGACCAAGACTGAGAGCGAATACCAAGACCAAGATCAAGACCAGGTGTATTGTCGCAAGACCAATACCAAGACTGACCTGTCTGTCTTGCTTGCTTTGGGCAACACTAGTTAAGAGCCGAATAGTTATGCCGCTGATGCCCTGGAAACTCTAAGGCGACTTTGTAGGAACTACTCGAGGTGGTGATAGTGGATATTGCTCACCCAGTCTCTTAATAACATTCTGGTGCGGGTCGAGTCCCACATATCTGCGCTTACGGGGGCGGGGTATGCACAAACTACCAAGTCGGATATTTGAAAAAAAACCAATCGTATAAGCTCGACGTAAAAATAAAAATAGCGTCTAACACCAAAGATTCTGAATTGAATCATCCAATAATAGACCAGTGTCGATAATTTTTGAAACCTAAAAAAATAATAGTAGGATGAAACCCATTGGAAAAGGAAGGGGATGACGGGTCTGGGCGTTACTGCATACGATTTTTTGCATTTTCTAAGAAGATTTACTATAGTAATATAAATATTTTTTTTACCACAGGAAAGTAGAGATTTCAACGAACTGAAAGCACACAAACTTTTTGAAAAAAGCTGATATTTTGACGCTTGCTTTTTCGATATTCATTCAAAATAAGGTGAAAAAATTATTATTTCAAATCAAATAAATTACAGCGTATTCAAAATAAGGTGAGTTTTCACAAAATTTCGTGGGAAAAAAATTTTTTTGTAAAAGATAAAAATTAAAAACCAAAAACTTGGTTTTTTGAATTTTTTCACATAAATTTTGAGGTTATGTGAAAAATGTGTAAATACAAAAGTTTTAGATCTTTATATTACCTACAACTTTGCCATTTGACTTTTTTCCATAGGACTTTTAGTTTTGCCGGAAATCGAGATAAACCGTTTTTTACCCTTAAAACTCCCCCCCGCTACCCCTTCCCGACCTCAGATCGCCCGTAAATAATTTTTCCTTTAATTTTTATAATATTCTCCTCCCTTTCCAATAGGTTTCATCCTACTATTATTTTTTTCACTTTTTATTTTTTTTAAAGGCTATCTACCCTCTATAATTATAAAGATTCTGTCGAGCTAATGTATTTTTGAATGACGGATAACGTGCAACTTATAATTTCCTGGTAATTGATCTTCATATTCCCTGACAATACAAATGGCATTACTCAATACCGGTTTAAAATCTCACTAAAAGTCATGTGTTCCTGAACATATGTTTGTGAACAGATGTGAAACAGAATATAGGATTACTATGTGATGTGTGACAAGGAATTAAAAACATTAGGTGATTGAAAGACAAAGACATAAATTCCCAAAGAATTATAAAACTATAAAAAGGAATATATATAATGAATGGAAAATAAAATAGTGTTTTTGTCTAAATATGCAAGTAGAGATCAACATTTCATGCCTCCAAGTCATAACACAAATGTAAAAATACATAAAATTTAAATTAATTTTAACTTGTATGCAAAATGCTTTCTCCTAAAATACATAAGACTTTCATCATACATATATGAATACTACATTACCTTAAAATATTAATAAAACCTATCCGAGCATGAGTTGAATAAAAGGAAAATTAATTTCCATTAAATACTGTTACGAAGAAATTCAATTAATCCTATAATCTGAGAGAATCCTCTCCGGTCATATATACAGGGA